TATGTTGCGGATCGGGTCACCCGAATGGAAAACACGCGGATCCCAAGTTTTCTTTAAACTTAAAATGGCATCGTTTTTCGATACTATAAAAGGTAAATTTCAGCCTTTTTTCAGTAGAATTCTCTTCCTCCTTCTCTCTTTACTCCCCTTTTCTCTCTCTCTCTCTCTCTCTATTCCCATCAAGAACACCAGTTGAAATTTAATCAGATTCTAGAAATTCTCATCGAAATCTGGGTTATTCGTTGAAAGGTTGGTCGATTTCTGGAAATAGTATGCCAAAAATTAGATAATTGGTCGAAAAATTCAAATATCGTCGAAAAAATCAACCGAAATTTGGAATTTCAAAAAATTCCCAAAAAAAATCACCAAAAATTCCCCGAAAAAATTCCTAAAATCCTTAAGATTGCTTCGGACCTTTCTAAATGCCTTTATACTTTTCTTTTCTTCCTGTGTGGTCTTTCCGTGTCCTTGGGTTCTATTTCAACATCTATTTATAAGGATTGATCAGAAGAGTTTCTAATCAATCCCAATTCCTTCTGGGACTAGGATTCAAACTTTTAATCCAATCCCAACTCTGCTAGTCCCCAAATTCACAGCCAAATTCATTCCAATTTTTTCTGATCCTAATCCTAATCCCAGTTGAAAATTGATCAAGAAAAAAAGATAAAAATAAAAAATAATTGATAAATAATAAAATATATTAATAGATAACTAAAAAAAAATTAATAGGTAAATAAAAAATATTAATAGATAAATAATAATCATAATAATCATAATAATAATGAAAAATAATTAAATTAAATTAAAATTAAAAAGAAAAATGAGCCCATATTACCCATTTGGACCAAGCCCAATTGATCTGGGCCTGGACCAAATTGGGTGTCTACCCTAATCATTCATAAATTAGTAATATATCATTGATAGCTTAGTAGTGAATAATTGATAACTTAATTATCAATTACTGATAACTTTTATTATACTAAGTTGCCAAGAATTGAACCCTAGGTACTAATAGAAAAGAACTCAAAACTTTTATCTTAGGAATTAGGATAAACCTACCATGAACAGATTTAATAAAAAATTAGTGAAAAAATTATAAATTTAAACAAAACAATAATGTTATTATATAAAAAAATTTATCTCATATATTATTAATGAATTTTTAAATTTCATGTTTCATAGTTGTAAATACATAACAACATATTAGTAAATCAATGATACGTTAATAAAAAATAAGTGATAACTTTTTAGGTAATAACTGATAATTTAATAGTAAATTAATGATAATTTAATAGTAAATTAGTTTCAATTTAATAGTAATTAATTAATTAATTTAGTAGTTACTCATAAATAGCTTAATAGTAAATCAATGATAATTTAGTAGTTAATCATTGAAAACTTAAAAGTAAATCAACATGACTTAATAGTAGTTAATCATCAAAAACTTAATAGTTAATCAATGATAATTTAAGAGTAAATCATGGATAATTTAATATAAATCAATGATAACTTGATAACGAATTATGGTTAATTTTGTAATAAATTTGTTATGATTTTGTAGTAAATAATCAAAAGCTATGTAGTAAATCAATGATAATATAGTAGTAAATGTATAATAACATAACAGTAAATTAATGATAATTTAGATGTAAATTATTAATAACTTAGTAGTAAATTACTAATAATTTAGTGATAAATAAGTGATAATTTAGTAGCTAATTAGTTAATTATTAATAACTTTATAGTAAATTACCGATAAATTAATAGTAAATTAGTTATAACTTATAATCAACCATTAGTAACTTAGTAGTAAATCATCAACAATTTAGTAGTAAATCAGTAATAATTTAGTAGTAAATCATTTACAAATTAGTATTAAATCAATAGTAATTTAGTAGTAAATTATTAATAATTTATTAATATATCATTGATAGTTTAGTAACAAATCATTAATAACATAATAATAAATCAATGATAACTAAATTGTCAATACCATAAACTTATTCAATAAAAAGATTTAGTGAAAATTTTCTAAATTTGAATAAAATAATAATGTTATTATATAAAATAAAAATTATTTTATATTAGAACTGAACCCGTGCCTTCTTGCAAGAATCCATTATTAACTATATGATTACACAAATATTATCAATAATTACCAAAAGTATATTACAAGTTATCTAAAGCTTATTAAAATTACATCAAGAGAGTATTAAAATTTTATCAAAAATTATTAAAATTGCATCAATAGTTACCAAACTTATATCATAAGTTACCAAAATATATTGAAGGTTTCCAAAATTTTATCAAAGGTTATCAAAATTAAAATATATCAAAAACTATCAAATTTTACTTATATTATACCAAAATCAAAATTAAATTATTAGTGTTTATCATTATTATCATAATATCAAAAAAATTATTTATCGAAATGAAATTTTAGAAATAAAAATTACACATGCATCATGCATGTGCCAAAAACTAGTATGTATGTATGTATGTGTGTGTGTATGTATGTATATATATATATATATATAAAAGGAAAGATCAATTTACATGATATTAAACTAAAAATTTTTTTACATATTTTTCTAATTTTTTATTTTAATAGGTCCAATGTATTAGAGAGACAAGTAAAAAAAAAAGGTTTAATCTCATCTCTTAAATCTATTGAAATAAATTATTAAAAAAAGATGTAAAATTTTTTTTGTTTAACTTGATCCTTCCATGCGCTCACACACACACATATACATACACATATATATAGGGGTGTAAATTATACATTAGTACTCGCAAGCTACTCGGGTTCGATTCGAAAAAAACTCAAGTATTCTTATATCTGACTCGAGTAGCTCGCGAGCCTAATCGAGCTTTTATATTTAAATATTTTTTTATTATTTTAATTAATAAAATATTTCGAGTCCGAGTTTGAGTTCGAATTCGAGTATGAATAATCGAACTCTTATCGAATATATGAATCGAGCTTATTTTTACATATTAATTGAGCTTAATTGAGCAAGCTCGAGTAGCTCGAATTCGATCACGAATCGAGCTCGAGCTTGAAAAATAAAACTCGATTGAGCTCGAGCCGAGTATCGAGCCCCGAATTGTGAGTCGAGCTCGAGCTCGAGCTTCTCACTATTCGGCTCGGCTCGACTCGTTTATACCCCTATATATATATATATATATATATAGATGACTACCACCAAAATTTTTTGTATCCCCTTATTCCACCATTACCAAGTTTTTGAATTCTTAAAACTTCAAGCTGAAACTGAAGATATTAAGCTCAGACTAAGGTGGTAAAAATGTAAGAGAATAGAAAAATTGCTATACATCTTTAATTTTAGTCATTGTTTTTATAGAAATTGAGATTATTAGAAATTGAACTTTAGTTATTTTGAACTAAAAATTTGTTTTTCTAATAACATATCGTATGACCTTTGGCTTTTAATTTCGTTAAAAGATTAAAAATATTCTTGAATTTTAATTCAATAATTATTTAAATTCTTAATATTTTATCGTAATCAAAGTTTTACTCTTCTATTTTGATTTAATTGAACATTTTAAATAGATAAAATCTAATCATGTGATAAAAGTTAATTAATCAGTTCTCATATTACAATCAATTAAATTCTTAACGAATCTTAGAGAGAGATAGAAAAATTAAAGAAGAAAAAAGAAGATTAATTTAGTTTATTTTATTTTTATATATATTAATTATTTCACGTGGTAAACTTTAATTCATTTTATTAATGTCACATAAAAAATCTTTTAATTGGCAAAAACATTAATAATTTAACTTTTTTTTATCTAAATAAAGATTAATTATATGCAAATAATTATCTAAGAGATTAATTAATTATAATAAAAAATATGGGCTTGGATATTTTTAATTATAGTTCAGATATTTGTTATACCTTTAGCCTTTTAATTTTAGTGTTGATAATTATCATCTTTAAATTATTTTGTTAAAACAAGTTGCATGGTCATTCATCTCTGCTTTGTACCATAATTGCCAAAAAGAATTTGAAGCAAAGACGAATCAGTGATCATAGAGAACTAAAAAAGAAGTACGACCAGCAGCCTGACCTATTCTTAATTATTTAATTTGTAAATATTAAAGAGAGTGGATACACTGTTGATAAGTTCAACACTGGATGCCTTTGATAGAGGAAGAAAAGAAAAAAGACAATTCCTCTTGAAACATAATTAAGGGAATTAATCAACAGATACATTAATCAAAATCAGCAGGAGGCTGCCCTGTTTTGTTTGGCCAAATTTTGATTTAATTCATATGATATTATTTGACTTTAAGATTTATTATCCAACAAAAAACTTTTACTTCTTGGCCAAAAACAAAAAGCTACTACTATGTATTATTATTTGACCGTGGTCTTTCTTGTCTTAATGAATAACCCATTCTTTGAGTGTGTCAAAGTGGAACAGCTATATGTGTAATTGTTCTTAAATTGTCTAATATAAATTTAAAATTTAGTTTTTGATTCATGTAATTGGTTTAATTTTAAGAAATGATATTGATGAATTTAATAAATTTAAAATTTAAATCACAACACCTACAATCTTATCTTCTATTCCTAATTAAACTACAATCTCCTTTCTCTAATATACCTTGATAAGAAAAAAAATAAATAAAATTTTCCCCAATAATTTTGTATATTTGACGAACTTGATTATTTTTTATCCTGTATTTTACGAAGAAACTCAAATCTAACCTCAATTCAATGTTTATTATCTTCCTTATAAATTTCATTTTAAGTTCTTTTATTTCTTTGTCTACAATTAAAAAGTAATCCTTTTTCAATGATTTAATAGTAGGATCGGCTCTACGATGAAAAGTCTGATTTAATAGTAGAATAAAAGCCTTGAGAACCAGTCTCGTGATTAGCTAAGAAAATAAAAGCCTTGAGAGCCAGTCTCATGATTGGCTAAGGAAATAAAAGCCTTGAGAACCAGTCTCATGATTGGCCAAGTCCTAATCGAAATTGCTCGCTATAAATACCCAGCAGCACCCCAACCATTCCCAAAACTCACAAACTTGAAAAGAAAGCAAATTAATTCAGAGCAAATTCAACTTTCTAATCAATGGCTTCACCCACCAATTTTCTTCTTCATACCTTTGTCTGGCTAGCACTTGCAACCACAGCTTTTTCCTTATCTCCCAAATTTTATGACCAAGTTTGTCCCCAAGCTTTGCCTGCCATCAAGAAAATAGTCCACGCTGCTGTCCATCGTGAGCGACGCATGGGAGCTTCTCTACTTCGTCTGCACTTCCACGACTGCTTTGTTAATGTACTACATTTACTTCACAACATTTCTTCATTATTATCGGTAATATTTAGCGTTTCTTTTTAAGTTGCAATCTTGAATTGTTTGCCATTGTAATGCAGGGTTGTGATGGTTCCCTTCTGCTGGATTCTACAGCTACCATTGACAGTGAAAAGAATGCACGTGCCAATGTAAATTCTACCAGAGGATTTGAAGTAATCGACCAAATTAAGGCTGAAGTGGACAAAATTTGTGGACGCCCTGTGGTGACATATAAAATAAGGTGAGAAAAATATAAGAGAATAAAAAAAACTTGCTATACATCTTTAATTTTAGTCGTTGGTTTTGTAGTAATTGAGATTATTAGAAATTGAACTTCAATTATGGGGAACTAAAAGTTCGTTTTTCTATTAACATTTCACACGACTATTGGTTTTTAATTTTGCTAAAAGATAAAAAAATCCTTAAATTATAATTGGATAATCATTTAAGTATTTAATATTTTATTGCAATAACTTAAGTTCTTAATCTTTTATTTCAACTCAATTAAATTCATAAATGAACGAAATCTAATTATATGATAAATTTTAATGAATCAATCTTCGAACTATAATTAATTGAATTCTTAAAGAAATTTGAGAGAGAGACAGAGAATGTCGGGAAGAAAAAAAAAATTATATTTTAGATTTTTACATATATTAGTTGAATTACGGGATAAAATTTTATTTATTTTATTGATATTATACAAAATTTTATCTTAATTAGGAAAAAAATTAATAATGTTTAACTTTTTCATCCACATAAAAGTATAATTGGATGCAAATAAATGTTGGATGATTTTTTAATTATAATTTAGGGGTTTTTTAAAACCTTTAAGCTTTTAATTTTAGTGAACATAATTATCATATTTAAATTATTTTGTTAAACCAAATTGCATGGTCATTCATCTCTGCTTTATGCCACAATTGCCAAAAAGAATTTGAAGCAAAGACGAATCAGTGATCATAGAGAACTAAAAAAAAAAGTACGACCAGCAACCTGACCTATTCTTAATTATTTAATTTTTACATATTAAAGAGAGTGGCTAGAATGTTGATAAGTTCAACACTGTATGCCAATGATAGAGGAAGAAAAGAAAAAAGGACATAATTAAGGGAATTAATCAACAAATACATTAACCAACGTAATCAGCAGGAGGCTGGCCTTTTCTGTTTGACCAAATTTTGATTTAATTCATATGATATTATTTGACTTTAAGATTTATTATCCAACAAAAAGCTTTGTATTATTATGGTTGAGCTGGGCTATACAATTAATGCTACTTAATTAATATTTGACTGTGGTTTTTCGTCTGTTAATTAATTTTCCTTTCTTTCAATGTATCAATGGTTAGAAAATTATATAAACTTTTTAAGTTTATATCACGTTAATTGACTTGGTTTTTCATATATATAAATAGAGGAGAGATCAATTTAGATATATAATATTAAAGAAATTATATATATATATATATTTTAATTATTGATTAATATATTAAAGGGATGAAAGTAAATTATTTTTTTATTTAATTTTCTCATCTCTTGAATCTATCAAAATTAATGATTAAAAAATATATAAAACTTTTAAAATTTTACAATGCATAAATTAATCCATTTTCATATATATGTAATTGTTATTAAATCCTCTAATATAAAACTTAAATCTTAATTCTGTTGGTTCATGTAATTACTTATAAAATATGAAATTGACTTATCCAACAAATTTAAAATTTAAATTCCAACACTTATAATTTTTTTTTTAATTAGACTACAACCTCCTTGATCTGAAATACCATGGTAAGGAAAAAATCTATATAATTTTTCCCAATAATTTTGAATATTTAATAAACTTGCTTAGTTTTTTATCTTGTATTTTATGAAGGGAACTCAAATCTAACCTTCAATTCAATCTTTATTATTTTCCTTATCCATTTCATTTTAAGTTCTCCTCTTATTTCTTTCCTTATTTTTATCAGATTTTTTTATGTCTACAATTAAAAAATATCCTTTTTGAACATGACCATGTCAATTTCGAGAATAAAAAATCTATTAGAAACGGGCCTACAGTCAATACAAGATAAAATAAAAGCCTTGAGAACCAGTCTAACGATTGGCTAAGTCATAATCGAAATTGCTCGCTATAAATACCCAGCAGCACTCTAATCATTCCCAAAACTCACAAAAAGAAAGAAAATTAATTCAGAGCAAATTCAACTTTCTAACCAATGGCTTCACCCACCAATTTTCTTCTTCATACCTTTGTCTGGCTAGTTCTTGCAACCACTGCTTTTTCCTTATCCCCCAAATTTTATGACCAAGTTTGTCCCCAAGCTTTGCCTGCCATAAAGAAAATAGTCCATGCTGCTGTCCATCGAGAGCGGCGCATGGGAGCTTCTCTACTTCGGTTGCACTTCCATGACTGCTTCGTTAATGTACTACATTAACTTCACAACATTTCTTCATTATTATCGGTAATATTTAGCCTTTCTTTTTAAGTTGCAAGCTTGAATTGTTTGCCATTGTAATGCAGGGTTGTGATGGTTCCCTTCTGCTGGATTCTACATCTACCATTGATAGTGAAAAGAATGCACGTCCCAATGTCAACTCTACCAGAGGATTTGAAGTAATCGACCAAATTAAGGCTGAAGTAGACAAAGTTTGTGGACGCCCCGTAGTGTCTTGTGCCGATATCTTGGCTGTTGCAGCTCGAGATTCTGTAGTTGCGGTATGGATTTATGTTATCCGATTGAAATTGAAAACTCAATCTATCATTTCCAATGTCAGCAATTTTGTAAACAATCATTTTCTAATGAAAACTGTCATGGTTGCTGCAGCTGGGAGGACCATCATGGAAGGTGAGGCTAGGGAGGAGAGATTCCACCACAGCTAGCAAGAATCTTGCAAACAGTGTCCTTCCATCTCCATTCATGGACCTTCCTGCATTAATCAACAACTTCAAGAACCAAGGTCTGAACCAGAGAGATCTTGTAGCCCTCTCCGGTGGCCATACCATTGGGTTAGCACAATGTTTTACCTTTAGGAACAGAACTTACAATGCAACAAATATCGACCCTGCCTTTGCAAAAGAGCGTAGAGCAACTTGCCCACGTGATGGAGGCAACACTAACCTCGCTCCTCTAGATCCCACACCTGCACGTTTTGACACTTCATACTTTAAAAACTTGGTGAAGAAGAGAGGACTACTCATCTCAGATCAAGCACTTTTCAATGGTGGCTCAACCGATGATCTTGTAAAGACTTACAGCTCCAACCCTGAAGTTTTTTGGAACGATTTTTCTAAGTCAATGATTAAGATGGGAAATATTAAGCCTTTGACTGGCAAACAAGGACAAATTCGTGTCAACTGTAGGAAGGTGAACTGGTGAAGCAAATTGATGCTTTTGGGGAAAGTTTTTTTTCAGATATCTTTTTTTATTATTTCAAGAAATCATTTTCATTAATAGTATTCATTTTTTTTATGTTAAATAAGGCGTTGAAAGTCTTCCATACGAAAAGCCACACGGAAGATCATCAGATTAACCTTAATTGTTTGATTTCGTTGAACTCAATTAAGAATTGTTTGTTTCAAATGTATAAAACTCTGTTTTCACCAAATAATCTTACATTCTTGATTATTTATTTATTTTTTTGCTATTGGAGGCCATGAATAATTGTGGTAAATCTTCTTAGTATCCTCTTATTCTATCATTACCTTGTTTTTGAATTCTTAAAACTTTCAAAGGAAACTGAAAATAAAGATATGAAGTTGAGAAGAATGAGGGAAAAATGTAAGAGAATAAAGAAAATTTGCTATACATCTTTAACATTAGTTGTTGTTTTTGATTTTGGTAATTGAGATTATTACAAATTGAACTTTTATTAGTGGAACTAAAAGTTTGTTTTTTTATTAACATGTCACGCAACTGTTAGCTTTTAATTTGATTAAGACGTCACAAATAATTTTGAATTATAATTCAATAATTTTTTAAGGGCTTAATATTTTATTACGATCAATCCAACCCTTAATTTTTTGTTTTGATAAATGGATGAAATATAACCACATGACAAAATTTAATCCATCAATACACCAACTATAGTCAACTAAATCTTTAAAGGGATCTTAAAAAAAGATAAGTCATTCACCTCTTGGTCTATTGGCTAAGGAGGTTTTACAAAGACATAGAAGTTTTGATTTCGAGTTAAGATCTCTTCCTTTTTTCACCCTTATAAGGGTTATACCCTCCCCTTAAACAAAAACAAAAAAAGAGATAAAAAAAAAGTTTATTTTATTTAATTTTCACATATATTAATTACGTAATATACTAAATTTTAATTTATTGTATTAGTGTCATATGAAAATTTATTGTAGCAAACAAAAAATTAACGGTGTTAATTTTTTCATCTAAATATGACTTTAACTAGATATAAATAAATATTAGACAGATTAATTTATTGCAATAAAAGAATTTTGAATGATTTTTTAATTATAATTCAAGAGCTTTTTATATCTTTAATCTTTTAATATTAGTATAAATAATTATCATATCTAAATTATTTTGTTAAACCAAATTGCATGGTCATTCATCTCTGCTTTATACCATAATTGCCAAAAAGAATTTGAAGCAAAGACGAATCAGTGATCATAGAGAACTTTAAAAAAAAAGTACGACCAGCAACCTGACCTCTTCTAATTATTTATTTTCTACATATTAAAGAGAGTGACTACACTGTTGATAAGTTCAACACTGGATGCCTATGATAGAGGAAGAAAAGAAAAAAAGAAAATTTCTCTTGAAACATAATTAAGGGAACTAATCAACAAATACATTAATCCATGTAATCAGCAGGAGGCTGGCCTGTTTGGTTTGGCCAAATTTTCATTTAATTCATATGATTCTTTTTTTCTTTTTTTTTGATAGAAGCAGTAGTTTTCAGTCACTCATTACAAAGGCTTATTACACAAAAGTCGAGGAAGAGAGTACATCCATACCTTTGTACCCGTAAAGTAAAGGACACTTTTTCAAGACAATAAGCTAACCTATTAGCAGTTCTATCAATATGGTGAAAAGCACATGTCTGCAAACCAGAAGCTAATACCTTGATACATATCCTGGATTATATTGCTTCTAGTGAAAAACGAATTTCCCACTTCATGTATCTCTTTTATAGCTAAAAGACAGTCACTTTCTACCACAACTTTCTCCACTTATCTGCAAACCCTATTTAATTGCTTGCACTTCTGCCATTAAAGCACTATTTGCCTTTGCTC